AAGGGGTGAGTCAGCCATCATAAGGGAAGGGCCCTCCGAAGTGAGGGAACCCAGTCGCCCAGCGGAGGTAAGAGCCTCCCAAGTCCAATGCCAGAAAAGACACTGAGGAAAGCGCCGGCCACTGAGCAGTGCCAAAAAGGCGGCTATCAGTAATGGTGACAAAATGGCAACCAAACTGGTAATCAATCCAAACGTCGACTGCAAACTGAAAGTGCTTCCAGTCGGTCCAAAATGACGCCCGCGACGAGGATTTCGTCAAATTGACGCCCCGAAGGTCCGTCAAAATGGCGGCCGCCAATCATAGCTGTCAAAAAAATGGTGACCGCAATAAAGAAACGCCCCGAATTGGTGGTCCAAAGGTCTGCCAAACGGCTGTCACCTCTGGGAGCTGTCAATGGCGTCCCAGTAATGTCACCTGGTCTCTGCAATCAGACCTCGCCAAGTGTTCTAGAACCTCGGGGCGCGGCCAGAAGCCATGCCGCCGCTCCCGAGATGCCGCTAACGAGAGCGCTGTGAAATGGCGGTGGGGGCTCCTAAAGCCTGTTCACTTGCCAGCGGCTGATAAACAAAGGCCGGATCCGCCCCGAAGGGAACAGAGTCCGGTGGCTGCCGATAGTGGGAATGCTGAGGCGCGGGCAGCCTGGAGCCCCAGACACGCCGCATGCCTTTTGCAGCAGTCAATCTTCTCGCTTTTCTTCCAAATAAAAGGTAATCGAAAATAAACAAAGGACCTAAATGAACCTAAAGATAACTAAAAGTTGAAGAATTTAATTAGGGAAAACCCTGAGCTCAGAAAACCATGTCAGTTCTTGTCAGCAACTGAGTGAAAGACTGGAGGATCATGGGACTGTGGGTGTGGCTAAGCAAGGAGAATTTAAATGCAGCTTCCACTCAGTTCCTGTCAAAACCTGAGGAAGTACCCAGCTATGGATAGTGGGAGCAGCGCTCAGGAAAATTAGATTTAATTTTTTACAATTCTGTCTCTGTGCTTGTTCATATTTCCACTTTCAACAAACATAATTTAAGTTTTAAAAAATATAAATTTGGAGGTTCTCTTCCTGGAAAAAAATCTGTCTCTGCTGACCCTCTAATAATTATTCATTTATTTACCTCTGTATCTCCCCTGTAAAAATATTATTATTCCTCTTTGACTAGTTTGGGAATTTTGCACTCGCATACCTACCTAGTTTGAATTAGATAATAATCTGCCCTTCTATAAGCAAGTCATTTCAATCAGGCATGCAGAGCATGAAAATTAATTGGCTCTATCTGCCTCAAATGCATAAAATTCTATTTGCATGAGCCTGTGACATCCCCCAGTACATTTTTGGGAACTGTATTCAAATGATAGAACTTCATTTTGCAGCTGAGTTTATTGCTGGCTCTCATGTATGTAAACACTGTCGTCCCCCACAAACACAACTAATAATAATTAATGTAGATTCCACAAGTCTACGTTCTACTCTAATATTTTCTGTGTGCCATGGATCATTCATTCAAACACATTTTTCCCATAATAGAGTTAAGCCTGGTGTGGAATTAGGCTTTCAAATACAGTGTAGTTAGTTGAGAAATTTAAACATTCTATATGGATTATGCTTTGGATTTCAAAACTAGAATGGATTAAAAAAAGACATAATTATTGGGTTAAAATCTTGCACCAAGTTACAATTACACACTAAGGTTACAGTGAAATCACACCTCACTATTTGGGAACATCTCTCATTCATCCAATGTGTCTTACTTTCTATTGAATAATTTTAGGGCTTCTGCTTATTTATTACAGAAAACTTAGAAAACTTCAAAGTAAGGAATGTGTAAAAACTGTTCTTTTTGGCATACATATAAAATTTATTTCTAGCAACATAAAAATCAGTTCAGTCCAGCAGGCCACTTTCCTTTTATTACGAAGAAGACTGCATTTGAAGTTAAAAGAGGACATACAGAGGCCCAATTTACTAATATGCATATTTATTCATTTATGCACTTTATCTCATGAGCCACTTATCTCATGAGCGAGGGACTCTGTGCAGCGTAAACCACTAAAATAATTATCATTAACAAACATTAAAACTTAAAAAATCTATAAAACGGTTAAACATTTTGCTGGTATACAAAGTAGACATCTAAAAAATTATGTAATAAGATATGAGATAATAAGGAAATTAAGAATATATTGGAGAGATTTGTTCCAGAAAGTTCTTAATAAAGCAGTCTAGCGCCTAACTTATCAAAGTAGAAGCATCAATTTCATATCAATATTCTTTAATTCCAATAAATAACCTTCCCCATTTTTGGTGAGCAATGACAATCTGGTTAGATAATTCTATGTAATCCTTAACCAATACAGTCAATTTCTGCAGCCACAAGGCTTAAGTGTGAAAATCACCAAACATTTTCCCATTAAAAGAAAGCATACTAAGGATTCTATCTGCTCATGCCAAATTTGGTCTAGCCCCAAGGCTGTCTAGTATTACAGCAGAATGCAGGTTTCTGCATAGATAATTCTGCAGTGAATTCATAAGGGAAAAAAATGGAACAACAAAAGATGTCCAAAATTTGTTTGCTATCTTTTACTGCTACCATTATATTGTTTATATATAATACAGCACTGACTGCCTTTCAACTGTTATTATATACATCCTATTTATTTTAGCAGATAAGAACAACCAATTCATGTTTCTTTTTCTAGTCAAGTAATTTTATGAAATTAAAGGAAGACTGCCTGCACGTTCTGAGTAAACTTTCAAAGTATATCAAACAGAGGCCAAATTCAGTGCTAAGGAAGCAATTAATAAAACTACACATTTTTCAAACTGTTAAATCAGCACCGAATATACAGTACACTCCCATAATCAGTTTCCAAACAAGGTATTTTCAAAGTTTGAAATATGATAATGCATTTTGAACTAAACTGTTATAAAATTATCAGTGTAAGAAAGGAATAGTTTGCCCTTTACTAGACACCATATAAATACCTATTGATCTTTATAATCAAGTTCTACAAAGTTTTTAAATACATGTGACAGTCATACTGAATTGTAGATGTTTTTTTCATATTTACAAATGTTTATATAAACATTAACAAAATATTATCTGTACCACTTTAAGAATATTGCAGTACACTTTAAAATAATTTGGCAAATTATTTAAATATAAATACTCATATTTAAAAAGCCATCTACTTTTTTAAGGGCCCTAAATGGAATATGGTAGTGGCTGAATTATTAAGAAAACCCTTAGCAACATTTAGTTTGATAGATATATATATTCCAGCTTAATTTTGTACAATTCAAGATGGTACAGATAGTGTTCCCTCTTCCCATTATGTTTCAGAGTTAAAGAAAGTCATCATGGTTAAGTTAACCGCAAGTATATTATGTTAAAGAATACTATTCATCTCTTCAAAGTATCCATATGTGAAGCAAAAAAATGAAGATCAAAGGTGACTTTGAAGAATCTTATTTCATTCCAAGTTTAAAAGAGAATAATCCCTGTCTACAGGCTCTTTTGAGCAGACTTGAAACTACCTTGAGCTGACAGATGCTTAAGAATGGAGTAACAGATAGGACAATTTTAAAATACTTGCCAGAAATGGCCTCTAACTTTAGCTGGAGAAGCCAAAACTCAGCAGATATAAACTTAAGAGTATAGAGTAGTGTATGTATAGAGTACTGTATACAGTACAAGTATGTACCTTGTTTATTTTCTGGGATACCATGCTGGTTTTTGTTAATATTTTTAGGCAGACAAATGTTTTATTAGGATACGAGATATGAGACATATTGACAACTTTTAGTTCCTGCCTTAAAATAAACAAGTGAAATGTACAGGTTTTTTTTTTCTGGCATCAGAGTACAGATGAAGACTGTTGAAAAATATAAAGGATTAAAAAAAAGAAGCAACAGCATGGCTTAAAGTTCAGATATGCCAGGAAACCACAGGCAGATTAAAAAAAATAAAGGAGGTGATACTAAAGTCTTTAATGGGTACTATTTTACCAGGACGATTGGACCAGAAAAGTATGTTCGTGCTCTGAAGTCTAGTTAGATTATTTTTAAATAAAGATCCCTATTGAATATAAATATCCTACCATAGATTGTTGAAAGATAATGTATGGTAGGATATTTATATTCAATAGGGACCTTTATTTAAAAATAATCTAACTAGACTTCAGAGCACGAACACACTTTTCTGGTCCAATCGTCCTGGTAAAATAGTACCCATTAAAGACTTTAGTATCGCCTCCTTTATGGCTTTTTCAAAATTAGGCTGCAAAAGCCCTCCGAGGCCACCTCGAGTGTGTCGCCACTGAAAACGCACCATCACAAATCTTTCAAATTCTGCCACGGAGGCCACCAGAGCTTAGAACTGGGCGAAAAGCACCTTCCCTTTGACGATGGGTTAAAGAGAAGAAGTTTTTGGCGGGAAGACGGTTTGGTGGGGCGAGGGGAATTAAAGAGGCCGCGCGCGGCCGGCTCTCTGCAGCTTGCGGCCCGTTTAAAGGGGAGGGCGCAAGGCAGGAGAGAAAGGCACGAGCATGAGCGCGCGCGCGCACGGCCAGAGGCAAACGGACGCGACGCCGAGAAAGATCGCGCGCCCCTGCTTCCACGCGACGGTTGCCCGTTTAAGAGGGGGAGAAACGCGCGCCGCGGGCGGCAGACGAAGCAGTCGCTCCGCGCACGCGGGCCACCCTTCGCTCCTCCGCAGCGGGAGCCCACGCTCGCGGGACCGACGCAGCAGCAGGAGCAGAAACATGGCGGCCACGGAATCCCTTCTCGAGTCCGTCAGACGTTCGTTTGGCTCCCGCAGCGGCCGCCCTCAGTTGCTCTTTCAAGAGCGCGCGCCCCCCACCCCCACCCTCCGCGTTTTAAAATTTAAAAAACCAGCCCGCTTTCCCCGGGCCGGTTTGCGCGTGTACGGATGGCGAGAGAACAAGCTGTGTTGAAAAGGGAGGACGTCCCCGGCTGTTTCCCATTTTCCCGCCCAGGCTGGCTTACATCCGGCGGAGTCAGGTTTCGTAACTCCAAGTGGATCCGTTTCTTCATGTTCATGACGGCGACGGGACGAACGGGACGGGCCCGAGTTCAGGCCCTGCGCTTACAGTGCCGAGTCAACTCGCAGGGAAGCGGCGGAGGGGGAGTTGCAGCCTGGCAGGAGGAGGAGGAGGAGGGCGGGAGCGCTCGGCGCCTCCTTCGTTTGCGACTGCAGTTAAATTGGCAACGGGGCCCTTGGTTGGAGTGAGCCGAAGCAAAGCGACGGAGTGGCCGCCAGGAAGCGCAGCGGAGGCGTAGAAGAGGCTGCCGGGAACGTCCTCGTCCAAACCACACCCTTCTCTCCTTGCTGACAGTAGCGTCGTCCCAGCCACTGCGGTCTTTCTCCGGTGGCGCCGTATTTTTACAAGCGATGATTGTTTTAAACCCTTTCCTGATTAATATTCCCCCTCCCGAGTTTCTTTTGACCAAGCATAACGGAAGAGTTAGGCTCTCAAAGGTCCGTAATACAAGCCCAAATGCAACAAATAACGCCAAATGTATCCAGGAGTGGTGTTCCTTTCCTACGTGGAAAATAAGGATGGAGTTTACATCGGACTTTTCTCTGAATGTTCTGTGTTTAATCTTCGACATACGAGCCCTATTCGTGGATGAAGTACAGGGCTGATTTTAAACATTGCACAAAGTTCTTACTAATAGCCCCAATTATAGTTTGTTGGATTAAAAAATAAGAATCCTAAACATATCAAAATGTAGCCTAAAAAATGGAAATTGACTGTTCTGAGTAGTTACCTAGTGACTAGTCCAAGAATGTTTCTCTCCTTTCATAAATTTTGTATTGGCCATTGCTTTTCTCTTGCAGTCCTCATTTGTTTTCCCATAGCTTTGATCTTTTTTCCTCCCAAGTACAGAGATAAAGGGTAGTTACCAATAATATTGATTATGTGTACTAGATTCATTATATTATTAAAGCAGGAGAAAAGAGATGGGGGACTGTCCCTATAAATTTACTGAGATTCGACAGCATAGCTTCCTACCATTTTGAGATAGGATCCAGCTGAAAATTATACCAGGCATCATAAATTAAAAATAAATCCCCTCATATTTCATATACTGCACAATTTGAAATTATTCCTGTTATCGTCATTAAAAGACAGGCATTTGGCAGAACTTGTCATTTTAAATCTGACCAGGTAGCAACTTCATAATAGTAATTTTTTATTTATTATTCACCCGGTTGATTGATGAGTACAAGTGGTTTTCTGTCATACTTGGTAGTCTTGTTATGCCTTCTGGGTTTCTGGAATTTAGAGATAATTTATGGGTAACCCAAGGATGTTTATTTTTAATCTCTTACTAATTAAATCCCATGTTTATAACTAGACTGCTCATATCTTAAATATTTTGATAGACATGAACGGGCATTCTAACCACTCATTCAGAGTTTGGGTGGTGTGCAAATTTAATAATTAAGTGAACATTGTGATCTTACGGTATTAATGCAATGATGCAAGGTTCATTTAAATACCATATTTTCTTTTACCAGATCATTTAAAATGTGCATGTTATTTGTTAATAACAGTGTAACATACACAAATCAGTTAATGATATTTTCCTCAACATGGAGACCACTGATACTTTTAGGCAGCTGCAGTTAAATACACTGTTTGCATTTGCGCAGCACAGTAAGCCATAAACTAATAATCATGTTTTATACTTATCGGTTGTGTGAACCTGGCCAATGTAGTACTGTAGGTTTATTAATCTGTGAATAATATGAGCCCAGAAAATGGAATTGAATAAATCATAATTCAATTAACAATTATGACTCCAGGCATATGTCTTCCTAGTGAATGTCTGACAAGGAAAAGACCCAAACCCAAAAAACTAGTCCAACAACTGTACTAAAAGTCAAAAGCCAGTTTGAACAATATTTAAAATTACTTATGGAAGGACAATAGCCAAGGGCGTGTGTGGGCAAGTTGTTTTAAAAGACAAGGCTACCACAATGATAGTCTGCTTCGGAATGCTGATCATTCCCTTCGTCAATGATTATACAGGGCAGGCAGATTATATTTGGGGGACATGATTCCTAAGAATGTATCTTGGATGAAATAGCAGAAAATATACCATCCAAAGAATTTTTCTTCCTTGAAAACCAGCTAATTTATCCTTTGGGCTTTTCTATTGCTTATTGTTTTTGAAACAAACTACTACCTGTTAAATGTTTACCTTACAAATTGTACTTTCAGGATGAATATAGATCAAATGTGTCTCCACAGATTTGCAAATTGTGTTCAGACTTACATCTTTAAAAAGCCCTGTACTATATAAAGTGTAGTATTAATCACACAACTTGGAGTATTTACAGTACTCCATTTATATGATGTCATAACACTTCTGTTTCAACAGCAGGTGATGCTCGTGTTATATAACTATATGTTCTTGTTATAAAAGAAATGGCTGAATGTTATACTATTAAGCAAATGGTTCATTTTGAGTAGCTTGTGCCAGTTATATTTTATTAACAATAATTAAAATAAATTATTTACATGGCCACTAATAATTTTTTAAGAAAAAACATATGCCAAGGTTCCAAGTAACACCCCCAACAAAAAAAGACACTGAGGCTGAAAGTTCCTCAGAGTTCCATTTTATTAGAGATGTCATAGTGACACATCTGGGAAAACCCGAATCTGAAAGCTTCCGGGTTTTCCCCACCCAAAGGAAAGTCAAAGTCCCTTCCCCTGCACCCACATGTCCAGCACATAGTCCAATCAATCCACTGTCCCAACTGGAAATGCCTCTCAGTCACGCCACTCCAGGTGCAGGCTGAGCGTCCTTGGCTCCCAGAGAAAAGAATGTTATTGGCTGGTTCATATTTATAACAATTGCAGTGACCTGGGGTCATGTAATCATCTTTTGTACCTGACAAGCAAAGCCAATGAAGAAGCCATATTCACTTAACAAACATGTTACTAAACTGCAGTGATTCACTTTAATAACTGTGGCAAGAAAGGTTATAATATGGGGCAAACTCACTTAACAAATGTTTCACTTACCCACATAAATTTTGGGTTCAATTGTGGTTGTAAATTGAGGACTACCTGTAACCCAATCACAAACCACAAATGATGTAATGCCTGGGAGAAAAGGCAGCTTTCTAGAAGGGTAGGATTCCTCTGCATAAGGGACGGGGTGGGGTGGGGGTGATTCCACAAAGTAAGCACAGCTATGGAAAAGCTTTCTAGGTCCCAACAGAAGGCAACATTTAAGAGGGGACCTGGAGTGAGTGTATCCAATGCAATCCAGTGGGGGAAGAGATCTTGAAGATACCCTATAGTGATATAGTATATAGGGCTTTAAAGACGATAACGACCTTGAATTGTACCCATAAAGAAACAGGAAGCCCATGCAGCAGCCATATGCAGCATGGGCAAGCTGCAGAGCACCCAGAACTGTGTATACCACTGCATTCTGCACTAGTTGAATGCAGTTGCTGAATGATCTTCAAAGGCATCGCCATGTAGAATGTGTTGTAGCAGTCCAATGGGGAGTGACTAGGGCATGAGTGACCATTCCTGGTGAAATTAAATGTAACTGGGACACCCAAGTAAACCTGCACAAAAGCCTCCTGGGCCATAGCTGCCACCTGTTTCTTGAGCAGGAGCTGTGAGTCCAAGTGGACCTCCAAATAATACAGCAATTCTGTATGAAGGAGTGCTATCTCATCTAGAGTTAGATAGTAACTCTTCAGATCCAGAAACCCAGAGTCACACTGTCTTGCTAGGGTTGTATCCCATCTAATTCCTTCCCATTCAGATCCTACAACCTCCAGGTACCTGGTATGCATGTAAACTGGCATCACCTGTCTGGCCTGGGGCAGAAAGGCACCATTTTAGATCATCAGTCTTGGTGATACTCCATCTCAAGCTATGGAATGAATAAGGGGGACAAAAACTATTATGTCATCAGCCCATTGATGATACTTGACTTCAAACTATGGAATGAATCCACCAATTCACGTAGATGGTAAACATAAGGGATGAGAGAACTAAGCTTTCAGGTACCCAACATGAAGAACATAGAGCTTGATTTCCCCCCCCCCAACACAGACTGGAACTGTCCATGGAGGAAAGAGAACTACTAGGATGCTCTAGGATGCTCTACTGCCATCCCCCCAAACCAGTTCAAAGTGATATGGCTTTTGATTATATTGAACATTACCAAGAGGGCTAAGATGGATGCATCACCATCATGCCAAGTCCTCCAGAGATTGTTCATAAGCATGTTCGCTTCTTCCAAATTATTTAGCAATAGCACTTAGGCTTATGTACTGCTTCATGGTGTTTTACAACCCTCTCTAAGCAGTTTACAGAGTCAGTATATTGCCCCCAACAATCTGGGTCCTCATTTTATCGACCTTGACAGGATGGAAGGCTGAGTCAACTTTGAACCTGATGAGATTTGAACTGCCAAATTGCAGGCAGCTGGCAGCAGAAATAGCCTGCAGTACTGTATTCTAACCACTGCACCACCACGGCTCATATCACCCCTTTCAACAAGCTTCCTAAAAAAGAGAAAGTTGAAGAGTAGACAAAAGTTGACCATCCCAGCTAGGTCGAAGAATGCCCATTTGAGAAGAGGATGAATCACTCTCTCTTTCAAGAATCATCCTTTCCCACATGAAGGCTTGGACTCAACCACATTTCACCTCCTGGAAAATCTTAACCAACTAAGAAATGCATAGGTACAAAATAGAGATGACACAGCTCACAGCCACTCTCGTTGCAGGACAAATGTATAAAATAATCTTAGGTTTTCCTGCTTCTTTTATGAGAATCAGATGGTCTAAAAAGAGCATGTATGTTTACCCGTATGTGATTAGAAGAACTCAGAATGTTCAAGTCCCATTTCAGTTATTTCTCTTTAATTATCACTGCCCAGTCCTTCGTTGACCTGGAAAATCTTTATTAAACTTATAACTTGAGAAAATGATGCATATTACTTGCTAGATGCTGCATCTAATTAGAGGTTTCTTACCATAGTCTGTAAATATCCTTCAAGACTGGCTGTGTTTACATAACATACTGAACCACAATATATTATGTGTGGTTACATGTGTTTTGATTTCAGTCAATGTATAATATAAATTTAGAGGGGATAAGTAAGCCAGGATTAAATTAGCCACAAGTATTGTATAAATCGCTATTATTGAAAAATTGGATATACCAATCTTGTATTTTTGCACTATTTGGCCTTGTTCATAAACTAGGAAACA